GGCCAGGGGGCCGGCGGGGCGGGGCCTACGGGAGGGCACAGGGGGCGGGGAAACACGGACCAGCGCTGAGAGGGGCGTGGTCTCTTTACTAGAGGAGCGCAGGTAGCAGGGCGGACCACAAGCCGGTTGGTGTGGAAACCATCTAAAGGGTGGAGTCTAGAGAGAATGGGGCGGAGCCTTTAGAGCAAGGGGCAGAGCCTGGGGCAAGGCGAGGGGCTGGAAAGAGAACGGTGAAAGTGTCGAGGAGGAGAGGTTAGGGGCGAGGATCTCAAAGTGGGTCGCGGTAGATCGAGGGGTGGCATAGAGGAAGGGCTAGAAAGAATCTAGAGCTCTGAGGTAGGACCTGGGACTGGATTCACAGAGGGAACGGGCAAAGGGGTGAGAAGCAAGTACCCAGCAACTTTCGAGACGAGGGGAGGAGCTGTGATACGTGGGGCTGATGCCTAGGCAGGATTATTCACAAGACTAGAACGAGCCGGAGCCAGAGGCGTGGCCGAGAGGGAATAGGCGAGAAGGAGCAGGGTAGGGGGCGTGGACCAGAAGGTGAGGTAGCCCGATTTTTAGCACCACGTAGTCAGTTGGGGGTTAGGCTGGAATGAAGAGACTGACTTAGAGATGACGCCAGGACTGAGAAAATGGAAGGTGTAGGCTCGAATGGATGGGCGGCGCCTGGAAGCCACTGGGACCCGTGGCGAGCAATTGGGAAAGCACTGTATTTCTAAATTGTGAAGCTAGAGGCTGGGCCACTAAGACGGGCGAGGCTTGGGTGGAGCCTCTCTGGGACCTGAAGCCAAGAGTGTCGAGCTGGGGACACAGTTTCTAGAGTTCATTTCTCTATAACATCGCTTACGTTTTCTTTTCTTTTTTTGAGGGGGGGGTCCGGTACCGGGAATTGAACTCATGACCTCGCGCTTGCCAGGCAGGCGCTGTGCCGCTGAGCTAAATCCCCAGTCTCTCGCTTACCTTTTCTGTGGATTATTTTCCTCTTCTGCTCGTTGGCAGTGTGTAACCGCGGCCGTTGGTAAGTGATACGGAATCGTTTGCTCTATTATCACTCTTTCCTAACCCCATTCCCAAACTCAGTGTGGAAGGTGCAGAAGACCTAGTAGTGACCCGACTTGCGGTGCAGGTCAAGGGACAAGAAGGAGGTTTAGTCGGTTTAAAGTTTCACGGCGGAGGGATTAACGGGGGTGCGAGAGGCAGGTGCAGAGGGTGGAGCCTTCTGGATGCCCGGGGAGAGGGGGAGGATGGCGGCCCTGTATAGGCTGCTCGAGTGTCTCCTCTGGCCGCCTCGCAAGGAAGAACAGGCCGAGGAGGAGGAGGAGGCGGGGCGTGGAGTCCCCGACGAGCCTCAGTCTCTCCTGGCTGCACCGCGATGCACCCAGAGGCCACACGGGGGTGGCGCAGCCTCTGGGAGCCTGTGCTTCGGAGCCAGCGCCGCGCAGGGCTGGCGCGCGCGCATGGAGGACGCGCACTGCGCTTGGCTCGCGTTACCCGGGCTGCCCCCGGGCTGGGCTTTCTTCGCCGTCCTCGATGGCCACGGTGGGGCGCGAGCCGCCCACTTCGGCGCGCGCTATCTGCCTGGCCACGTGCTCGAGGAGCTGGGCCCGGCGCCCTGCGAGCCCGAGGGCGTGCGTGGAGCGCTGCGCCGAGCCTTCCTGAACGCCGACGAGCGCCTGCGCGCGCTCTGGCCCCGTGGCGAACCCGGTGGCTCCACCGCGGTGGCGTTGCTGGTCTCCCCGAGCTTTCTGTATCTGGCTCACTGCGGTGACTCCCGTGCGGTGCTGAGTCGCGCTGGAGCTGTGGCCTTCAGCACCGAGGACCACCGGCCTCTCCGGCGGCGGGAACGCGAGCGCATCTACGACGCGGGCGGCACCATCCGTCGCCGGCGCGTCGAAGGCTCTCTGGCCGTGTCGCGAGCTCTGGGCGACTTTGCCTACAAGCAGGCTCCAGGGAGGCCCCCTGAGCTGCAGCTGATTTCCGCGGAGCCTGAGGTGGCTGCGCTAGCTCGCCAGGGTGAGGACGAGTTCATCCTCCTGGCCTCTGACGGCGTGTGGGACGCGATGTCTGCAGCTTCCCTGGCGGGACTGGTGGCATCGCGCCTTCGTCTAGGCCTGGCCCCGGAGCTTCTCTGCGCACAGCTGTTGGACACGTGTCTGTGCAAGGTCCTGGGGCGGGGTGTAGGGTAGCTGAAGCTTGGAGCGGTAGAAAGGAAGGATTCGTTTGTTTAGGGGGGGAAGGGCTGTGACAGAAAGGCAAGAGGGTGAGGCTCGACCCAGAGGCGTGGCTTTTAGGACTGGGCGGGGCAGAATGTAGTGAGGGCGGAGCCTAGGGGATGTTGACGACCAGATGGGAAAAACGGTGCTACATAGGCAGGTGGGAGGGATTTAAGGGAAGGGGCGTGGTTTTGACATGGGGGCGGTGTTACCACCTAGAGGCTGAGCTGAGGTAGTTAGGAGAGCCAGAAGACGTAAGAACAGCTAGCCCACAGAGTAGACAGGCCAGATAAAATGAGTAATTCTGTTAACAAGGCAGGCCTACAAGAGGGAGAGGGTGTGGCTGAACAGATTGCTGCAGGTGGGAGAGAGCTTGGTTTGTTTATTTATTGTCCATACTCAGGATTGAACTAAGAGTCTTGTAATGAACTACATCCCCAACGGGTCACTTCCCTCCCCCTTTTGCTGTTTTTATTTTGGGCCAGGATGTTCTTAAATCGCTCAGTTGCGCAGGCTGGCTTCGAGCTTGCCGTCCTCCTGGAGCGCTGGTTTACAGACACGCGCCACCACAGCTGGCTGATGGCTTGGTTCAGACTGGCAGATGGGCAAGACTTGAGAGAGATGGGCACAACCAGACTGCTGAGGGGACTTGGACAGCAGGGTTGTTGGGAAACTATCCTCCCCAGGGCATGGAACCCTATGCTGGAGTCCCCACCCTCTCCCACCAGGCTCCCCTTTTTCCACTTTATCCAGGGTAGCCTGGACAACATGACCTGCATTGTGGTCTGCTTCCCAGGGGCCCCCAGGCCCTGTGAGGAGGCTATCAGGAGGGAGCTAGCGCTGGATGCAGCCCTGGGCCGCAGAATTGCTGGTGAGCAGGGTCCAGAGCCCAGTGGGAGGGGCGATGCCAAGCAGGGGCTTCCCCATAACCTGACCTCCTCCTCAGTGCTGTGTGCCTCTGCTCAGGAGCCCCTCAGCCTAAACACAGTCTTCAAGACTCTGGCCTCTGAAGACATTCCAGATTTACCTCCTGGGGGAGGCCTGCACTACAGTGGGGGACTTGGGGGAGGAGGGGCAGGAGGAAGGTGTCCTCCTGAGGGCCTTCTTCCTCTCCCCAGGGCCACTGTCATCGCTGAAGCTTATTTCCGGCTCCACCAGGCCTCAGAAGAGTGTTGGGAGGTAAGGGTCCTCCATTGGTTTTTTTGCAGCACTGGCAAATGAACCTGGAGCCTTGCACATCTTCGGCAAGTGCTCTCCCACCGAGTTGAATCTCCTACCCAGGACCTGTGTTTTTGTTTTTGCTAAGCAGTCCAGCCTGGCCTTGAACTCCCTATGTAGCTCAGAGTGGCCTCAACTGAAAACCTCCTGAGTGCTAGGATTACAGGGCTGCACCACGATGCCCACCTAGAACTATTTTTTTTTTTTTTTTTTTTTTGTCTTTTTGAGATACAGTCTCACTAGGCAGTTCAGGCTGGCCTTGAACTGGCTTTGTAGCCCAGGTTGGTCTGGAACTTGCAATGATCCTCCTGCCTCAGCCTCCTGAGTGCTGGGATTACAGGCATATACCACCACGATTGGTTAAACTGTTTTGAAAGGGGCAGGTAACCCAGCACCCCTTTACCTCTCTTAGTGATGGGGAACTTGAAGCCCATAGTGACAAGGAACTTGCCTGATGTCTTAATATGTCCTTGTGGTCCTGTAGTACTGTGTGAGGCATGATGGTGGTGAGGGAGGAATACAGATGCAGAGGCGAGCTGTGCTTCCCCTCCAAGAAATGGAGCCTCTGCTGTGCTCTGGAAAGCCCCATCATCCCAGCACCACCCCAAACAGGAAAATTCTGAGAAAGTTAATGAGCCCTCCTAAGGCCTGACTGCACAGTAGACACCGCCAAGATATCTCTGAAAATGCCCCAGTCTTGGTGGGAAAAGAGAAACTGTAATTGGGCCCAGATAGCTGAGGATTTGCAGAGGTAGCAAGGTGGACATAGGCATGGGGTGGAGGGCAGGGAGGAAATAAATATGAAAGAGAAGCTGAGGCCAGAGCCCCATGGCCTTTGCACGGCAGAGAAGGGAGTTTGGTTAGTGTCGTGTGAATGAAGAAGGGTTGTTGGTAATTTCTCAGTGGCAGGAGATACTGGGCAGGATTCATTGAACTGTGAGTGACAGGAATCTGGCAGAGCAAAGCAGGGAATTTACTGGGCCGCTGAACTGAAGACTTCAGGGACTTACGGCAGTCCTGCCTCTGGTCATCACATGACCGCATTAGGAACCATCTCTCCATTTTATTCTCTCAGAATTGGCTTGATTTCCACGCAGGGTGTCCTTGTGAGGCAGCAGGAGCTGCAGTTCCAGGTTCAGAACTGTGGGCCTGCTGGCCTCAGTGGACAGGCTGCTGTCCTAGTAGTTGCAGTTGGTGCCAGAGCTGGTTCCCATTGGCCACACTAGGGTCACGTTCCTGACTCGCAGACTCTCTGATTGGCTAGGCTGGGATCACCCGTCCAAATGGCATTGGGATCCACTCTACCGAAACCTGATGGACTGAGAAATGGGGTGGGGGTGGTATACTTGTCCTCAAAAGAAAACAGGAGTAATTCTTGCAGAAGGCAGGGGAGTAGGTTCCGAGGGCCAAGAAGGGATTCTCTTCACCCCGCCCTCCTCCTGTGTTGCAGAAGGTGCAGAGTGGGGCCGGGGAGTCCACAGTTCCTATTTGAACTCTGCTTTGGACTACGAAGCCTGACTGGGGACCTGGATCATCTGCTCAACTGGGGCCAACAGAACAAAGAAGAAAACTACCTCCTTCCTACCTCCATGGACCAGCGGAAGGAAGACAAGCCTGTGGCAGAACCCCAGAATGCTTCTTTCCCTTTCTCCTACTTCCCTCTCACAGAAAAGACATGAGAGGGGAAATTCCACCACCACCCAGTCAAAAAAAAAAAAAAAAAACCAACAAAAACAAAAAACACACACACAAAATTTTTTTTTTTTGGAAAAATTTGAACTGAACAGATTCTAAAAGATCACCCAGCTGGGCATGGTGGTGCACACCTGTAATCCCAGCACTCGGGAGGCTGAGGCAGGAGGATCATTGGAGTTTGAGACCAGCCTGGGTTACAAAGTGAGCTCAAGGCCAGCCTGAGCTGCATAGCGAGACCTTGTCTCAAAAAAAGAGCAATCCCCCCAAAAACAAACAACCTTCTCTTTCCTTCCTATTTTTCATGTGTTTTTTGTTGGTTTTTTAAACAGCAGTAAGGGAGAGTTTTACTTATTAGATTTTAATTATTTAAGTAACTCCAAATATATTTTATTATTAAAAAAAGTTATTTGCCCTGTCAGGAAATATGTAGTGGGGCACCTGATGTATGTCAGGCCTTGTTCACAGGTGTGAGCCTGGCCCATTTACTGAGATCATCTTGGACAGTAACAAGTATCACGAGAAAATTTTTTTTGTCTTTTTGAGACAGGGTCTCTCTGTACAGTTCAAGCTGGCCTTGAGCTCACTTTGTAGCCCAGGCTGGTCTCGAACTTGAAACGACCCTCCTGCCTCAGCCTTCTGAGTGCAGGGATTTCAAGTGTGCACCACGAAAAATAAGCTATCTTTAAAAAATGACTATGTCAGGCATGGTAGCACGTGCCTGTAATCCCAGGACTCAGGAAGCTGAGGCAGGAGGACTGCTGTGAGTTTGAGGGTAGCCAACTACATAGTGAGTTCATTGCCATCCTGGACTATACAGGGAGACCCTGTCTCAAGAAACCAAAAAGAAGCCAGCCTGTGCAGTGGTATATGTCCACAGCCCCAGCTACTTGGGAGGGTGAGACAGGAGAATCATCAGTTGGAGGCATCCTGAACAATTTAGCAAGACCCCACCAAAAAATAAAAACAGAAAATGATTAAGGAAATGCTTTGTTGCTATTTTTATTTCAATTAACTTAGTTTTTGAATGGGTAACTAATTCATTCATTCTGAAATTCAAAGGGTACAAGATGATGGACAATGAATAAGTTTATCCATCTTCCTACCCTTCTGCCACTGAGGCCTCCAGCTGAGGGTGACAGAGAGATCTCTGTGAAGGGGAAAACTGAGCAAAGACCTGACAGGCGAAGAGCCACCTACATACATGCCCTGGGGGAGAACATCCCAGGCAGAGAGAATAGCCAGTGCAGAGGTCTAAGAGCAGAACTGAACTTGGCTTTGTCTGTATGAGGTTGGAGATATCTGTGACCACCATATTTCCTACATTTCCTCCCCATGCCACTGATAACCATGGCGATGAGTTTGGAGTGGCTTTACCACACATTTTACTCTGCGTGCGTGCACACTGTGCCTTAGGTGTTGCTTGATTCTTCATGCCCTACATATAATTTGGCAACTCGCTTTTTTCACTCAGTAATAGATTAAAGGCCAGGTGTGATGG